AAAAAAAAAAAAAAAAACGCATGGGCGAAGGATATATTGAGGTGAGGGTATGTTGGAAATATCCTCTCTACCTCTACAAGATAGGGATAAGGTTTGCGTATACACTAACTTTTCCAAACCCCACGTGTAAAATTACATTGAGTATATTGTTGTTGCATGGGCGGATCGGAGGATACTACGACATGAGTCTTATTATTATTAATTGTTACTATTATTATGAAGCAACATCAAATTGACACTTTTAGCCCGCGCCAAAAACTATTTATATGTGATAGCCGAAAAGTATATAAAATTGGTATAGTTTTTTATATAATACAGAATGTATACATATATATTTTCATTTTTTCGATTATTATTTTCAAATCGGCTATATAATGTCATTTTTCCTTTTCTTTATGGTTTCAAGATGTTATTAGACTTTTAACCAAAAAAAGAAAACGAACACTTAGTGTTTTGACTTTTACATGTATGTGTTTTCACAGTTCGTAATGGTTGTACTGAAAGGATCAGTGAACATATCATTTGGAGGGAACAAGGAACCAGCTGCATTTGCTGAAATTGTATCAATGGGTGGCATTAACTCGGATGTCAAGAGAAACCTTATCGCTACTCTCGGCACCATTTTGCAGAATAATTTCTCCATTCCCACAACTCGATTCTTTCTCAAGGTCTACGATACAACAATGGCTACCAAATTCTCCAAACTCTAATTTTCTCAAACCAATATATATCACTGTCATTTTCATTCTCCTTTTTGTTTGCAAAGCAATGCAATGAAAGCATGATATAGTGATTTTATGTAAGGTCAATCCACCTTTCCCATTTTGTTTTAAAGTTTTGGATTTAGCTTCTCGCGACAATTTTGAGGTTTCTTGGTGGTGATTATGGGTGGCAAACGGAGGATCGGGTCGAATATGGAAAGGCCGAAAATGGGCAATGCAAATGAATAAATTATCCGACTCGACTCATATTTAATACATGAATTCTTGAATATGATCACTTTTTCGAGAATTCCTAGTCTCTCAAACTCGAGGAACCCCAATTTGAGTCTTTACAAAAATATACAGGTTAAATACATTAGTTATCCATTTTCTAAGTGAATAATATTTGATCCATTTTTAAAAAATTCATTATGTAACCCATTTTTTTAGTGGATAGTATGGATGGATAACTGTTTTTTAAATCCATTTTGCCACCACTAACTGGTGATTTTAGCAAAAACATTTAGAAGAATTAACCTAAATAGCTTTTCATCCAATTGCTTAAACTAAAAATAACCGAGAATAATTCATGTATAATATGAGTATAACCATGTATAATCTATGTATATAGATGCTAGGAAAAATAAATAGTGAATTTGATCGACTATTTGTGTAAACATCCTACAAATGTAAGTGCAGGGAAAGACAAAACATTGAATATCCACCCTCCATATACTAAATGGTTTTCCCTTGGCAAGAGCATAATGTTGTGAAAGGAACTAGAGATTTTCCTAAGAGTGAATTTGTGCAAAAGATGGCTAACAACGCTATTACTTAACTGTACTATCAGAAGTTCTACAGGGTTTGCCATTTCTGATGTCGATCCAACAGACACAACTCTGCTACTTCCCAATGTTAAGTGCTTTTAGGCTTCCAAAAACATTTAGTAACCCTATTCACAGTTGTAAAATGCAAATATTAAACTCTTTGAACAAAGGATGCCAACGAAGATGCAGCTTCTGTACTTCGAAAACAGAACTCAGTCTTCCAATACTATAGCTGAGCAGAAACACCTTTTCCCTATTCCCCTCAAGTTGGGTGTTTGCCAACCTTGACCCTCCTTATAACATTCGATCTGCAATCATGATCGGAGAGTTAGCTAGCAGGAGCAACACGTGTACATAATGGAAACTTAGCATGACGAAAAACAATGAAATAAAAGTTTAAATTATAAACACTATTAGTGTAAGGAATTTTTACATCACCATTGTCACTTTTACCTATAGTAGCAGGTAACCTGTCTAATTTTCAAAATTACAAATCGCATATTTTAAAGTGGTTGATAGAGTAAAATATTACTTATACTAACGGCATATATAACTTAAACTTATTAAATAATGATACGCACCACGTCTACAACTTCCTCACCAGGTTGAACCCCTCCAATCACATAAATGGACTCATGTAGAACAACAGCTGCTGAATACCCTCTCGAGTGCTTCATTGGCTCCCCAACCATCCATGTTGCAAGACGGGGATCATATATCTCAGTGTTAGGCACCATTGTAGACCCATCGTACCCACCAAGTGCGTATCTGCATAGCAGTTGTGAAGCTAAAAGTAAATAACAAGATGATATTCATCCCAAATGGGAAAGGCTACAACATAAGGCATAGCACCTGGTCCCTGGTCCCTGCTCCCAAACCCCATCCCCAAACCAGAATAAAGAGGGTGACTACAGGAGAATGCACCTCCTACTCCTTTTGGTGGCATTATAATATTAGAAATGCAATCAAAAAGCACGAAAATGATAACAACTTACAACTTCCCGTCCAACACAGCCAATGCATGGCATCCTCTGCTCGTACTCATATTCTTAATTTTTGTCCAGGAATGTTCTCTGGGATCAAATCTTTCAGCAGTCCTGTGATAACATTTGATCAGAAAGGAGTTAAGAGAAGAGAGCAGAAAAGTGTAACAACAAAATAAATGCCTTTACACATGCACTTTTGCAGAATTCCTTTGACTAAAATTCGCGTAATCAGCATTACGAGACCAACAGATTGGAAAACCAAGTCTCCTCCTTGGGGAAGATATTAACAATTATAAAAGTGATTGGAGACATGAGGTACAATGTCAAGAATCATTCAAACATACAGTTCAAAGAAGGCGCCAGAATAAGAAAAAAGGCAATTGCATAACTTACGCCAGGTAATTGCTTCCATCATATCCACCAACAGCATATAACGCACCATTGAGTTCTGCTGCAGCAAGAGAAAATCGCTGCAAATACACACTCATGGAAGATAAAGTCATGCTTCTGTAAGACAGATAACAGTAAAAGCAAGTAAATGGAAACATATATGAGAAATTACTTAAGAACAATAATGTAAAACAAGATAAGTGAAGGTCCTGATGTTTAAACAAGGTCAAGGCAAGGAAACAGCATACTGTCTGAGTTACCGAGCACTGACAAGAATTCACTTGCTATTGGATTAAAATCGTTGCTAATCCACCTGCATAACTTCAGTTTGCAATTTAAGTTATCCTTCCTCTCATTTTTAGGTTTTCTCACTATTAATTAATTATAATAAGAGGCTGATAAGGCTTGACCAAGAGGCAACACATAAAGATATCAATAAGAAAAAATGAAGCTCAAGGACAAGATGATCCCATATTGACTTCGCACAACTTTTAAGAGTGACAATAAACTCCAGAGCAATACACATCAACGTGCTAGTTGGAAATTTGACTTTAACCGAAATAAGCTTTCTCATCATTTCAAATTCGTCCATCTAAGCAAACAAGTTTCATCTTTTCATATATAGTTTGTTGTTTCTGAAACAAATAAATACTGGTACATGCAAATAAAAGGAGCAACTAAGTTAACCTTCTGCAACATGGATCTTGTAGAAATCCAACGCTCTACTAGAGGATCATACATCTCGACCTCTGAAAAGCAGTCAATCCCATTGCTACCGCCAATTGCAAAAATTTTGTCCTTCAAAGTAGCACCAGCTAAACTACCCTTTTTCTTATTCAAGGAAGGATGTAGGGTCCACTCGTTATCTGCTGGATTATATGATTCAACTATACAAAAGCAGCATAGCATCAGCATTAGCAACTTAAGATGCTAGAGAAAGTGGCACATGGGAGCAATGAGTGCTGGGGGCTAAAAACTATAAGATGTACCTGTGTCGTACCACAAGCTTCCAGTTCCGCCACCAAATACATAAAGCTCTCCACACAGTTTTGCAACTGAGGCATATGATCGAACTGAACTCATTGGCTTAAGAGACTTTAACACATCATTTGAAAGTGAGTATGACTCCAAGGTAGATAACCATGATACCCCGTCATATCCTCCGGCTAGGATGATTGACTCAGGATCCAGCAATACTTGATCAACTGGCTCAAACACTGTTTCATCAGCCAATTGACATGACGGAATTGAGGACTCAGGCATGAAATATTTATATTTTAACTGCTTAATCTCTTCTCTTGCATCGGCCTGAAATGCAAGGCAGATAACAGTCATCAGGAGTGCATTTCTAAAATGCACATCATGCATACAAGTGGTAAGTTCTTATTTACCAAAGAGGACAAGAATACAAAATTTCATCGTCAAAACGTGTAGATACAGTACAGCATGCACAATAAACACTATGAAGTGGGAAAAATACTAGAATTCCAGAGGCGGGCAAAAGGATTTGTTCACCCTTAGAACATCTAGATACAGCAGAATGCACAATAAGCAACAAGAGATACTAAATTCCCTGACACAACCACAAGGTTTTCAAAATACCAGTATTTCTCCTTCTTCTTCTTTTCTGATAAAGGAAACACAAGGTTTGTCTCATGTTTGACGCTAGATAATAACACTGGATCCACTTCTCAGTTTTCGTGAATACAAATATCATTTCCCCTTTGCATCCTGCAGCGCACCAAGAACCTTATTTCATTCCTTTTGGTTCATAATGTAACCTTAATTACACCATGACATCCGATTCCAAATTGTTGAATGATCAAATCCCCATTTCCCCCAAGTTATAATGTTCCAAGTCTCTTACAGCCTAAAGCTGATAATTTCTCCTCTACGACAACAACAACATACCTAGCGTAATCCCACAGGTGGTTCTCCTCTAAATATTCAATTTCCAGTATCTTCTTCTCACAACAATTGAAGCCCGACTTAAAGAGTTTTAAAGTAAACTAACCAGTTCTATAATTACTACTCATGTTACTTTTTGTCCTTCAGTATATTCATAGCACTAATAGAACCCATGAATCAGCCTATTAAAGCTCCACCACTATACCACCTAAAAACATTACTCCGATTATGTAAGGTATATCAACCATTCTCCTAGAAGACTGAGCCTATATCTGAATTGTTTGCACTTAGGCACCAGAATCTCATCTAATTTCACCCGACCTACATTTTTCTTACAGGGGGCTAAATTTGAAGTGCATATATTCTATCTCACTTCTACTTATCATTAAGCCTTTACTTTCACAGTTCTATCTTTTGGTCGCTAATTTAGTCAATTAAAATAAATATCATTTGAAAACAGAGTAACTTTCTCATACGAGTTACTCAAAAAGATATTTTCTGGTAACAATATCCCTATCATCTTCTTTCAGAAATTAGGCTAGCTTTTCTTAGATGCATACATCCCAATGAATCCTGAAGACCATTGGAAGCTATTGCTTGTTCTGATTGTTTCATTTACTTCAAAAGAGGAGACAAATGTCAAAATCCTTCTGAAACTCCTTTATTTTGTTTGAAAGATGACAGACTGATGACTTTTCACAGTCAAAAGTGGTAATACAAATCCTTGGGTTGCATATGGATTCCAGTGTTATATGAAAATGTGTTTTCTTACTTATGCCAACACACCTCCACCTACACCCCTCCCCCTCCCCCAACACACACAAAAAAATAAAAAATACCAAGCGGAAAAGGAAAAAAAAGGAGAGGAAAAGATCAGATCTCTGTATTCATCCATTGTTCCAAGATATTTAACATAGTGCATGTCTTCTGCGGCCATATTCTCCAATAGAGACAAACCAAGAAGGAATGCAATTTCAGCACAGAATAGATATGGTAAGCTCTGAGATTGCGTACCAGCTTCTGCTCCAAACTACACATCTTATGAGTTTGCGCTNGCCATATTCTCCAATAGAGACAAACCAAGAAGGAATGCAATTTCAGCACAGAATAGATATGGTACTATAGCTCTGAGATTGCATACCAGCTTCTGCTCCAAACTACACATCTTATGAGTTTGCGCCTCCTTAGAAGCTTTCAATTCTTCCATTCCTTGAAGCAGCTGTAATCAAAATATATAGTTGAAGTGAACTAAAATTCCATCAATCAGCAGATACTACAAGAAGATGAAGTACCTGAGCTATAATATCAGGATAGACAGCCAAGTCAGACGAGCTTTCTTCATTCTTTTCCTCTCTCATTGTCTGTGTTTTCTTAAAAGTTTCTTGCCCAATCTTTACATCATTTATAGTGGCATTCGTCACTGCATTAGTGCTTTCCTCTGCATGCCCATTTATAGAGGTCCCTGAGCATTCATGTTGAATAGCCAATTCTCTAATTTCCGTGTGTATAAGATCCTTATCATATAATTCTACTTGATTATCTAATGGTGCCTCCAGCTGCTGGTCAGCGCCATTAGGACAAAGAAAAATGTCTCCCCCACCAAAATTCCCATTTAAATCAAGTGGGTTGACAAAATTTTCTTTCAAGTCTTGTGGCTCGGATTGACCATTTTCCTCTCTATTGTCTTTTGCCGGTAAACCTTGTATTATATTTCTCCATGTAGCTGCATTCTCCGGCATGCAGCTGCTTGGAGCAAATTCAAGAGATGAGAGCTTGGAGATCAATTTACCAGCTTGAACATGATCTAGCTCAAATAAGAAATGGTTCTGATTGTAATAGTTATCCAGAATTATAGGTTTAAACAGACTTTCTGGAAGTGGTTGGCACTGCAGACGGACACGCATCTGAACCTTCATTTATAGACAGGAAAACAGCAAACTTTTAACAGAAGATACTTCTGTGGACAAACAGGAAAGCATAAACAAAAGAAAATAAACCCGAAGTAAAAACCATGACATAAAACCTGAGCAGGATATAGTGTTCTTCCAGAACCGTCCTGTGTCCAAGCATATGGATTGATAGACATTGCTCCAGAGCTTGCAGCTTCAAAAATACCATGAAGCTCCTTATTGCTGTAGTTGAACAAAAACAGTGGCAGACCTGGATCTATGTTCTTCACATATGAAAAATGTTTAGCAGGCAAACCTAAAAAAGAAAAAAGGAAAAAAAAGAAAGAAAGATAAGCAATTCGATCAAAGGACAAAAATAAGAAGAAAGGAAAGAGTATATATAACAATTTCCAGCTCTCATGTGATAGTTAAAAGGACATTTAAAGCTAATTATCAAACCATATATATGCCTTTACTCCTAAATGTCCTAAATACTATTGTGAAAGGCCAAGCGGTCAACTTATTAGCACCCAAATAACTAACCAAATAGCTGTTTACATAGACATTCTTTCATGGTATCATTCGTGCAACCAAATATGACACCGCCAAGTTTTCTTTTCGTCAAGTATCTAAAATCTCCAGTGTAGCTTGTCTGGTTGGGTAGTGATGATGCAGAATCAAATACAAAGGTCTGCGTTCTTCTCCCTGCTCCCATCCTGAAAAATTAATATGCATAAAACTTACTCATCATGACTATAACAGAAAAAAATCAAAATACTATTACAAGCAAGCTAACCCAATTGCATGCTAATGTTTTTCAGGAAAGTTTATGTTATAGTAAATTGTATTTAAAAACAAAAAGAGACAGAGATGACACAGCCACACAGGAATTCAAATTGCTTAAAAGAGTCCTACAAAGTGTCACATAAAATTCCATAAATAGTACAACAAGAGGTCTAGCAAAACCATTTGAAAACGAAAAAAAAATAAAATTACAACATATGAACATATGTCTCCACTTGTCTAGTAATTTGTTTATTTTGGTGTTCAGAAGTCGAAGGTAAATATCATTGGGACGCTAAGAACGACTACAACCTATAGCTCACCCCTGTTTCCGCATTTACCACCCAAGAGAGCATGATCATTTTTGCCACCCACACTGTGCCCTAACTATCAATAAAGTGGGACAAATTTTGTGGGAGACCAGGCTTTAAATCTCAACATAGGCAAAAACACTAGGTGTTCCGCTTACTACGCTTTTTTGGAAGAATTACCGGATACATGTGTAGCGAAAAATGAACTATGGCAGACCAGGGTTCAAATTCTAGCCGGAGCCTGGAGCAAAAAATATTAGGTGATTTTTTTTAATAATGATTATTCCACCAGGTACAGAGACTTGTTGTATCCGGGCCAATTTGCAGCACATATCAACTATTCCATCAGATACCTGCTATCTCCCACCAGTACAAATACCGTAACTCTGTCTCCCAAAACTTAGACATGAGAAAAAATCACCTAATATTTTTTGCATCTACTAAAATTTGAACCGAGACCTCGTGATTCTTCTCCCACTTCATTGACCCTTGGGTGCTCATTAGGTGATTTTTTATATTTTTCTAGGACAGAGTTAACCACAAGCTGGCTTGAACACCGCCATTATTAAAAGAGCAAGAGAGAGCATGATCATTTTTTGAAAAAATCAAAGGTATAACTATCAAAAATTCAGCAACGTAACACACGACGATATGAAAAACATTTCACAAAATATAGACATTTTTTTTATGTTCCTTGACAACAAAAAATTCACCAAATATTATGAACTTAGAAACCCACGTTTTAAGCTCCAACTCAGTGATCGATGTTTCCAGTGAAGCAAAATGTGATGGATTCAGAGTATAAAAGTATGGTTAATGTAGAAAGACAGAACAGAGACGTGAAAATGTAGCTTAAGCAGAAGAAGGAAAGACGACAGACCTGGCAGCAATGGAAAATGCAGATAGTCTGAAAAAGGAACTGCCAGTGTAGTGGAGGAGCGAAACAGACACGTTAAACCCCAACTTTATAAGTACAGGGAAAGAAAATGACAACTTTATTATTTATTTAAGTTCTTTTTATATTGTTTCAAAATATTTTATAAACCTCCTTAACATACAAAAATTGTAAATTACATTCTTTGAAGGCGTAATAGCTTCATGACCACTTGTATCGGTTTGTAAAGCCGATACATGAACTTATATTTTTTCTATTTGAACACTTCAACTTGACGGAATAAATATTAATAAATATATTTGACCATTGACCAAGCCTATGTGGAAGTAACATAGCTGACATGGCTAAATTGTGTGCAAATCACGCTGTTAAAATGCGTGAATAATTTTATTTTTATTAAAAAAATATTAGAAATAGAATAAAATATAAATAAGAAAGGGAAAAAAAATCTTTCTCTTTCCCCTTCTCTTTTCCCCTCCCTCCCTCCTCTCTCATCTTCCCAAGCAACTCCTCCGTCCTGTAAACGTTTTTCATTTTCTATCCTACTTACCCCCCTCCTTCCTCGTTTCTTTTTCTCTTTCTCTTCCCCATTCACTAAATGGCTCATGCATAAGGATGACAAGTACAAATCTAATAATAGTCCAAATTGTTATGCGTTGATTTACTGGAAAAAGAAATGTAAGACCGAATATCAAATTCATTAGCATCATTATCATCTGGTTCTTCTTGGCCGTCACTGAGCTCTTCCAGATCGGATTGGAGCTGTTTTGGGGAAAATCTAGGATTTGCAGGTGGGGCTTAGCGAAGAAGCCGTCAATATGAGGAGGGCAGGGTTCGGAATCAAAGTCGAGTAGTTCTCGGGAGGGACTATCCATGTCCCATTGTCTATTGGTGAGGTTTGGAGTTTGGACGAAACTTTCTTATAGGAGGAAGAAGATGATGGTGGTTGAAAATGGCTGAGGTTTAGAGTTGTTGGATAGGTTGTGTATGGTGGAGAAAAAAGAGAACGAAAAAGAAATTAAAAATTTTAAAGATTAATTTTTTTCTAATAATATAGGACCCACAAATCAACATGTCATATAATAAAGACCAAATATGTGACATGACATTCATGTCAGAGCGATTGACGAACATGTTCAACAGAAAGTGTTTATTAGTATTCATTCCGTCAAGTTGAAGTGTTCAAATAGGAAAAATATAAGTTTATATATCGGATTTACAAACCGATACAAGTTTAAGTGGCCAGGAAGCCATTTCACCTTCTTTTAACTATGTTAATTTATAGTGGTCAAACGGGCTGGGTTGACCCCGGGATCGGCCCGGCCCAGACCGGTTGAAACCTGGACCGGACCGGCCCGCTACTTAGGCTCTGATACCAACTTGTCACGACCCTAAACCCCAAACCCGATCATGATAGCTCCTCTCGTGAAGACAAGGCCAGCCAACTATTCCTAATTCGATGTTAAATAGCTAAACAACAAGAAAACATTTTAAAACATGATTTTATAATACTAAGTGGCAGATAATATCATAAATATGCGGAAAGACAACCCAACACAGCCTGATACTGGGTGTCACTAGTCATGAGCATCTATATAACCTAATACAAGTCTGAAGAGTCTACAAATTATTACAAACATCTGATAAGAGATAGAAAAGATAAAGAGGGAGAAACACGGGTCTGCGGACTTCAAGCAGCTACCTCGTGAACTCCGAATGTTCGCCGGGAGCTCTCAACTCGCTCTGGTAGGATCAGCAATGACTGAAACTGCACACAAGGGTGTAGGGAGTAAAGTGAGTACTCCAACTCAGTGAGTAACAAATGTAAATAAACACTGAAAGCAAGAAATCACGTAAGGCACAAAGCATTCTATAATGAAGCAGTAAAACCATTTAAAATCAGTAAAAGATAGGTAAAAATATTTAAGTCAAATGTAGTTTCATGAAAAGCCTTTTTCAATGATTAAGCAGGTAATTAACTGTCAATTATGAAAAGTAAACACCCAAAGGCTCGCCCCTCGGGCACAATATCAACAAATCCGCCCCTCACACAACATCTCAGAATAGTACCAACCTCTCGGGCAATCACATAGAACAATACTAGCCTCTCGGGCTCAATCTCATATCACAATGGGCCCCTTACGGCCCAAGCGCAATATCAAGCCACCTCGTGGCATCATCACTAGGCCCTCGGCCTCATGTCAAACAAGCCACCTCGTGTCGTACATATCTCAGGCCCTCGCCTCATAAACAGTATCAAATGTTTCCTCACAACATAGGCTCTCGGCTTTACTCTGTCAAAATCCTCACAAGCCACTCGGGCAGTAGTAAAACATGTTTCTCAGCCCAAAATATCATTTAAAAGATCATTTAAGTGTTAAAACAGAGTAAACATGGCTGAGTATGAAAATAGTAAAATATAACATGACTGAGTTCAAGTATAGAGCCAAAACAGTGAGAAAATACCAGTAAAAATCCCCAAAGGGTTCAAATAGTTGGCACAAGGCCCAAATATGGCATTCAGCCCAAATCATGATGGTAGCAAATAGATTTCAGTCAAATACGCAGTAATATAGTCATCCGGGACGGGCTAAGTCACAATCCTCAACAGTGCACGACCCTACGCTCGTCATCAAGCATGTGTCTTACCTCAATATAGCACAATGATGTGCAAGTCCTGGGTTTCATACCCTCAGAACATCATTTACAATCATTACTCACCTCGAATCGGTCAAATCTCTAGCTCGCGATGCTTTTGCCCCTCGAATCGGCCTTCACTCACGTCGAAGCTATCCTAAATCAGAACAAGGATGTCAAAATATGCTTTGGGAATGAGGCCCAAGCAAAAGTAATCAAAATACGACACAAATCCCGAAATTACCAAAACCCGACCCCCGGGCCCACGTCTCGAAATTCAATAATTTTTATATCAATAGATTCCTTATCACCCCACGAGTTCATACATATCAAAAGTTCTGAAATCCGACCTCAAATGGCCCTTCAAATCCTCAATCAAAGGTCTAAATTTCCAAGCCATAGTTCTTCAATTTTTGGCTTAATTTCCATGATTTTCTAGGTGGAATTCACATTAGAATCGAGTTTTAAGTCCAAGAATCTTACCTCCAAATGATTCCCCTTGAATCCCTCTTCAATCCCCTTCAAAAAGCTCCAAAAATGACCAACAATGGAGGAAATAAACCCCAAAATCGCGGACAAGACGAGTACTTAAACCTTCTGTCCAGGTTCTAAATTTCCTTCTTCGCGAACACGGTCAAAGCCTCGCGTTCGCGAAGTACAAAAATTTTGTTGACCAAAATTCTTCTTCGCGATCGTGACCACCCCATCACAAACGTGATGCTTTACCCAGACAGACCTTCGTGAACACGCTCCCTCGCCCGCGAACGCGATGAACAAAATATCTCAAAACCCAGATCTTCTATGAGAACGCGGAGCAGACCTCGCGAATGTGATGCATCGTTTCCCACTCCTTCGTGAACGCGAAGGCCAAAGTCTCAGCCTTCTCCAGCTAACCCTTCGTGATCGCAGCTCCCTTCTCGCGAACGCGAAGAGCATTTGTCTGCAACACTGAGCAGCAGATTTCTGCAATTCTAAACTTCATGAAATGGTCCGATTGACCACCCGAAACTTACCTAAGGCCCCCCAACCTCAACCAAACATGCCAACATATCCCATAACCCCATTCAAACTTGTTCCAACATTCGAAATGCTCAAAACAACATCGAAACACCAAATTCGCATCGGATTCAAGCCTAAGAATTCCAAAATCTTCTAAATTATGCTTTTGATCAAAAACCCAACCAAACTACGTCCGAATGACCTGAAATTTTGCACACACATCTCAAATGACACAACGGAACTACTGCAACTCTTGGAATTCCATTCCGACCCCTAGATCAAAATCTCGCCTACCAACCGGAAATCGCCAAAATATCAACTTCGCCAATTCAAGCCTAAATCTACTCCGAACCTCCAAAACTAATTCTGATCGTGCTCCTAAGTCCCAAATCACCTCCCGAAGATAACGAACCATCGAAACTCACATTCGAGCCTTCTAACACATAAGTCAACGTCAAGTTGATATTTCCAACCTAAGTTTCCTTAAAGGAGACTAAGTGTCTCAAACCTTACCAAAATCAATCCGGATTCGATCCGACCAACCCGATACCATATAACACGGATAAACAAAGCATAAAAAAGTAGAAATGGGAAAATCGGAGCGGTAAATCATGAGACGACTGGCCGAGTCGTCACATCCTCCCCAACTTAAACAAACGTTCGTCCACGAATGAATCAAAAAACATACATGAAGCCTCAAACAGGTGAGGATATCTGCTCCGCATCTTCCGCTCGGTCTCCCAGGTAGCCTCCTCCACTTGCCGACCTCTCCACTGCACTTTCACTAAAGCTATATTCTTTGACCTCAACTTTCGAACCTGACGACCAAAATAACTACTGGCTCCACATCATAAGTCAAATCATCATCCAACTGATCCGTGCTGAAATCCAAAACATGAGACGGATCCTCAATATACTTCTGGAACATACAAACATGAAATACCGGAAGCACACTCGACAAGCTGGGTCGCAAAGCAAGCTTATAAGCCACCTCCCTAATCCTCTGAAGCACCTCAAAAGGCCCAGTGAACCGCAGACTCAATTTCCCTTTCTTCCTTAATCTCATAACACTCTTCATGGGCGAAACCTTCAACAGAACCTTCTCCTCAACCATGTAGGACACATCTCGAACCTTCCTGTCAGTATAGCTCTTTTGCCTCAACTGCGCGGTACTAAGCCTCTCCTGAATCACCTTCACCTTTTCTAAAGCATCATGCACCAAGTCTGTCCCCAATAGCCTAGCCTCACCGGGCTCGAACCAACCAACGGGAGATCTACACCGCCTCCCATACAAAGCCTCATATGGAGCCATATGAATACTCGACTGGTTGCTGTTGTTATAAGCAAACTCTGCAAGCGGTAGAAACCGATCCCATGACCCTTCGAAATCAATGACACAAGCACACAACATGTCCTCCAAT